GAGAGACTGGCACCCTGAGCCGCTGACCGCCCAGGCTCTGCAGCGTGAGCCACAGTCGAAGTGGCCCAGGACAGCTCTGTGCGGCCTCTCGTTCCTTTTTAGCCTGTGTCAGTAATTTGAAACAACTTTTGAATATGTTTCTCATTCTGGAACTCAGGGTTCGTGGTTATGGACAACAGAAACATATTCAATCCGCAAAAGACTTACAGGAAATGTATTGAGTCACTCGAAGACTCAGTGCGAGTCTGAGGAGACAAGTGAATCAGGCCCGAGCCGAGATCTCGTCCACACTGTGGTAGGTGTCCCCGCCCTGGCCATCTCCCCGCCCCGTATTTGAGTCGTTTTGATGCTATACATCTTTTTCTCTCGCTCTACACCTGTTGGAGAACCTGAGTGATCTGACTTGTCGAATGTCCCATAGTAAGGATTTGGCTAATCCCCGTCTCCTGGCAGTTCTTCCTCCTCCCCTCCCTCCCTCCCTTTATTTCTTTAGGTTTTTGCCATAGAGCATGTGCACTCACCGGAGAGAGAGTGAGGGAAAGCAAGAAATCACCCCTGGGGTGGCAATCCCTTCTTCTCCATTCTCCTCTCAGGATTTTGGGCATGCATGCACACACACCCAATGTGCGTTTCAAGCCACTGGGTCTGGGACTTGAACCATGGTCAGCCATGTGGGAGTCTGGCATCTTGACTACTATGTTACCTGCTGGCTTTTTCCTGGTAGTGTTCTCTCTCTCTCTGTTTTTAGAGAGAGATTTTTGCTATAGGCTGCATGTGCTTATGAGAGAGAGAGAGAGAGAGAGAAAGAAATCACACCGCTGTGGAGATGGCTACGCTACAATCCCTTCTCCATTCTCCTGAACGTCTGCCAACTCTAAACACCCTTTCTTCTTTGAGCCCAACTCAAGAGACCAGACCCTCTTTCTCCCTTACCCCTTCCCATCCTTTCCCCCTCCTCCTTTATGAATGGCTTGCCCCTTCAGCTAAGCACAAAGAGGTGACCTTCACTGGACCAGGGAAGTCGACACGCCCACCGGTTGCCTGTGTTTCCTGGTGCTTATGTATGACCTAATTCCATTCCAGAGGAAAACCGGAGCGTTTGGAGGCATTGGCAGGGGAAGTCCACATTCTTCTCTGCAGTGATTGGTGATGGCCTCTCGCAACAGCTGCTTGACAAAGGTCTGACCCCAAACTGCGCCCGTCGGCCAGGTTCCTGCGCCCTTTGGCCAGGCAGGCAGCGTGCATGCTTCGTGGGCTGCGGCAGTGCTAGAAACACCTGCGCCTGGCTGATTCATAAAGAACGGGGTTTACTGACTCCCAGTTCCGGTGGCTGGGAGGTCTGAAGGCATCACAAGATGGGGGAAGGCAGAACTTTGCGCAGAGCCGAGGCCGGTCTGTATCCAGGTGACCTCTGCCTGCCTCATTTCTTCTCCTTCTAAAAACACCAGGATTCGGTCGGGGGGCTCCGTGCTAATGACTTCGTCACACTAAAGGCCCCACCCTGGGACACCATGAAGGAATTTTCACTTAACACCTTTATAATATAACCAAGTCCCCAAACCATTATCCAAACCATGACAGTAAAGTCTTCTTAGAATATGGAGGCACCAGCCCAAGGCCAGACTGAAATACATTTTGCCCTGTTTTGGGGCTGAGTGAGGACTAGGGAGTCACAAAACCGTTTCCTGGAAAGGCTGCAGCAGTTGCTCCTCATACCGGCGGTTTCTGTGAATGCCCTTCTCACCACTCTCTGGCTAGCCATTGAAGTCATGGTCTCATTTATTTTAGGATTTGCCATTCGAGTAGTTTAAGCTTGCATTCTGTTACTTTAACTTACTTTTTTTTAGAGAGATTTTTGCTATAAGGCATGTGCACTCTCTGGAGAGACAGAGATAGGGAGACAGAAAGCGAGAAATTTCTCTCCGGGTACATGGCCACACTGCAATCCTTTCTCCTCCATTCTCCTCTCAGGATCCTGGGCACACACGCATGCACACGAGCCCAGCATGAGTTTTAAGCCACCAGGTCCGGGACATGAACTGTGAGTGACTACGTGGGAGTCCAGCAATGTAACTATTATGCCATCTGCTGGTCTCTTAACTTACATTTTTAATTGCTAGTGAACTGGAACTTTTTATTGTTTATAGATCGCTCGCGCACACACGCAGGTGTGTGTGTGTTGTGTTTATAAATTACCTACCATGTCTCTTACCATGTATCTATTGCTGACCCAGTGTTTTCTTCACGATTTCTTCTGAATTTCACAGAGTAAGAGATAATAACCCACTGTCATCTTTAATGTCATGTATTAAAAGTACATTTTTTTGCTATTTCTCACCTTCTATCTTTCTGTCTCTCTCTGTGTCTCCAGCAAGTGCATGTGCCCTATAGCAAAAATCCCTAAAAAAAGGACATTTTCTAATTTATGTGTCACAATGTGCATCTTTACCATTTACCCACACTATCCAACTAACTGATAAAACTGGAGTGAAATTCCTGGTTGAGTGCTATGAAATTGAGCTGGCCCTGCAGTGCAGTGGTTAAGGGAGCTGGACCCCACGTGGACCAGTGGGGTTTAAATCTTGGCCCTGGTAGCTTGAAAAAAACACCCTGGGGGCATGTGTGTGCATGCTTAAAATCCCAATGGGGTGGAGAGATGGAGGAAAAGGGGTTTGGGTGTGGTCAAGCCCCATTGAGAAGTGCTTTCTCCCCTCCCTAGTGAGTGCATGCACCTTCTAGCAGTTAAAAAAAAAAAAATAGAATTGGGCCAGCAGGTGGTGTGGTGAGGACGCTGGAAGGTGGTGTGGTGAGGACGCTGGACGGTGGTGTGGTGAGGACGCTGGACTCCCACATGGCCGACTGTGATTGAAGTCCTAGACCTGGCGGCTCGCTTTCTCACTTTCCTTCTCTGTCTCTCTCTGTTCAAAATTTACAAATAGCAATAATAAATAAAATTAAATAAGTAACTTTTTTTCCAAAGCGTAGAATTAAATTTAACAAGAATTTATTATGAGACCATTAGATTATCCAAGTAAAAAGTAGATGGATGAGAAAAATCTACAAATAATCCTGGAAGTAAGTGGCTCAGATTCAGCCGGCTGAAAACAGTGAGGTCCACCAGTAATGCCTTGGGACTGTGGCAAAAAGGTTTTTTTGGTAACAAAGATAAATAAAAATAATTTTAAAAGCCTCATTCCAAAAATAATGGCAGCATTCAAAATCAGCTACTCAGTCATGGGCCAAGGAGTGACGGATGAGGAGTTGGGGAGACTGTGTAAAAGTTATTTGCAGAAATACTCTGAAAAAAGACAACATTTTTAAAAAGAATTATTTAATTTTATTTATCATAATTATTTAAAAATTTGCTACAGGGCACACGTGGTCACTAGAGAGATACATAAAGAGAGAGAGAGAAAGTGAGAAAACAAGTCACCAGGTCTGGAACTCAATCCATGGCCAGCCATATGGATGTCCAGCCCCCTAACCACCACACCACCTGCTGATCCCCATAATTTTTTTTTGAGAGGTTTGTGCACTCACCAGACAGACAGAGAGAGAGACAGAGAGATAGAAAGCAAGAAATCATCCCCCCAGAGGAGACGGCCATGCCGCAATCCCTTCTCCTCCCTTCTCCTCTCGGGATCTTGGGCATGCACGCACATGTGCCTGGCGTAAGTTTAAGCCACCAGGTCCAGGACTCGAACCACGGTCGACTACGTGGGAGTCCAGCAACATAGCCATTACGCTAACTGCTGGTCCCCCCATAATTTTGTTTTTGAACCATTTTACAAAGAAAATATTCTTTAGTGTGTTACATTTTATGCATGGATATATACATATTCCACACTAAATAGATGAAAGTTGGAAAGAAAGTAGGAAGGGAGGAAGGGAGGAAAGAGAGGAGAGGGATGGAAAGTGAAGGGGGAAAGGGAAAAATTTCCATACCCTGGCTAGGCTACAATGATTTTATTTTGAAGCGTCCTCTCATGTTAGAATAACATTTGCAAAGGATTTATGGAACATCTTGTCTATTTGCCAACTCATCTCAGAAACAGTTCTCGAGGTGTGAATGATGAGGCCCTCGCTACAGGGTAGCCCTGGAGTCTCCCAGAAATAGCATGTACTCTTGTGTGTCTGACAATAATTCCTATTCCTTTATTTAAAAATATGTTTTTCTGACTAATAAGGAGTATAAGATTTGAATGGGAGACAAAAGCGAAAGTATGGCATGGTATTAAGGACAACCTTATAAATACATAGCTCATGCTATTACCTCTCAAAGTCTGTCCTGGGGCTGGTTCCATGCCTGCTGGCTAAGAGAGCTGGCTACCACATGGTCAACCATGTGGCTCAAATGCCAGCTCCAGTAGTTTGAAAACACTCTGGGAGCATGTACATGCATGCCCCATGTATGGGGTGGAAACATGAGGAGAAGGGATTGCAGTGTGACCATGCCTGATTGGTGGGCCTTTTCTCCCTCTCTCTCATCCTCTATCGCTGTCTTTCTCTCTCTGGCAAGTGATCATGCCCTCTGGCACATTAAAAAGAAAAGAAAGAAAGAAAAAGGAAAAAGAAAGCAGTGTCGTGGTATTACAGTCACGAAGGTGAACCTGGGGCTCAGGCTGCCCGGGTCCCAGTTCGGCTCGGCCATATTCATACTCTGTAACCTTACTAGACCGCTCTAAGCCTCAGCTCCATTATCTATCACGGTGGGATAGCAGTACTGGCTCACAAGGGTGTTAAGATCAAGGGAGACAGTATGTGTAAAAATGTAGCCTGGTGCCTGGAACACAGTAAGTGCGCAAAAACGTCAGCATGCACAAACTCAGCAGTGGCAAAGCGGATCATGTGGACAATATAGTGTTACTATGATTATTAATTCCCAGGAGAAATTAGGGGATTTCTTTTTGATCTTAGGTGAGCCACCAGGTAGGAAAATAGCAAAGTGTTCTCCAAAGTGTTACCTTTTCCCACACTGAGACGGCGTGAATGTCCTACCTTTAGGACATCCTAGTGGGAGATGCTGAGTCTGGAGTCAATTGTGTGGCATTCCCACCCAAGTCTGGCACTGGCTTTTCTTCAAAGACCTTTTGCAATGTTTCTTTTAAGGACTTCCTACTTCTCTCTCTCCTAACACTCCCTACCACAAAATAGACAATTGGGTTGACACTGCAGTTGATGGTGGACATCGTGTACAAATAAGGAAAGAACCTGCCCACGTAGTCAGCACCGGGGCCACAAGAGTACACGAGGATCAACACAACCTTCATGGGCATGGCGAAGACCAGAAACAAGACCACAGTGACCATGATGATGATGTAGAGCTTTGTGGGTTGACGGGGCTTCAGGTTACAGCAGACTTGGAGGAAGAGGATCAAGTTGGAGAAGACCAAGAGAGGAGCAAAGATGACGAAGGCCACGATACAAGAAAACGTGTACACGTACTGACACTTGGGGAGTGTAGGCTCTATTTTCAGAATGCAGAAGAAGCTTTCTAACCCAGACACGAGGACCGAAAGTGCCCACAGCAGGACACAGGCGATGGCGGATTGGTGCTTTGGGCGTTGACAGTGGTACCAGAGTGGGTAAAGCACGCAGAGGCACCGCTCCACGCTGATGGCCGTGAGGAGGTGCAGACCCGTGTTGTAGCCAAAAACCATGAGGAAGATGACGTAGTTTAGGAAGGTGTCGTCACTGAGGTGGTAATAGAGGATGTTCATCAGCTGGAAGGCAAAGGTGCAGAGGAGGACCATGGAGTCAGCGATGGCAAGGTTCAGGATGTAGACGGTTAGCGGCTTCCTCTTCACACAGAAGGTGAGAAACGCTATCAACAGCCCATTCCCGAGTGCCCCCAGGAGGCATATGAGCAGGGAAATGTAGATGTAACTGTATTGTCTCTTTGAATCCAGTGGGGGCTCAGTCGGCAGTTCCGATGACCAGGTTGTTTCATGAAGGGACTCCTTTCTGGTGTAGAGTGTGGACTCTGGAGGATTCAGGGTCACTGTCGATAGCTCCATTCTTGGGGAATCACCAGTTTTCTACCTGTTATCAGAAATGGAAGATGGGATTTATGGGTATCATTTACTCCAGAACTCACACTGAGTTGTTCTATTAAGGACCGTCCCTTGCATAGTGTTTGAGAGAGGGTGTGAGACCAGAGAGGACCCTGGCATGTTTGCCCTCTTCCTTTCATCCATTTTTCTTCTCTTCCATCATCTCCCCATTTAGGCAGATTCCATTGTAATCCCATGTTTCTTCCGCTGAACTCAATTCCAGCCCCCCACCACTACCTCCACCCAGGATCCCTCTTCCTGCTTGTCCCCAAGGGAAAGCCCACTGTGTCCCCAGTTTGTGCCCTTCCTTCCTGAAAGGGATTTTGAATGGTGCTCACCAGAACTAGGTGGCAGACTAGGAAAAGGATCAAAAGGACGCGTTTCAAATACAGCAGTGAGCGAAGTCCGGTGCACAACGAAGTAAGATAGTGACTATAGCACACTTAGAATTTGGTAACCGCTCCTGCCCCTCCCCACAGCAATTCTTTCTTTTCCATGCCTTGGTTTGGAGTTCATAACACTCACCTGACCCCGCGGTGGATTATCCACCCTCCAGGAAACACAAGCAACAGTGGTCGTGTCTCCCTCTTTTCCATTGAAGGTCATCTCTTTGTGCTTAACTAAAGGGACAATCCATTCATAAATGGGAGAGGTGGACAGGAATGGGAAGGGGTGGGCCAGCAGGCGATGTGGTGGCTAGGAGTGCTGGACTTTTGCATGGCCGACCGTGGTTTGGGTTCTGGACCTGGCGGCTCTCTCTCTCTCTCACTCTGACCCTCTCTGATCAAATTAGAATAAAGTTAAATCAAATAATTCTTAAAAAAAAAAAAAAAAAAAGAAATGGGAAGGGGTAAAGGAGAAAGGGTCTCTTGGAATTGGATGGGAGGAACCTTAACCACCATGCCATTGGCTGGTCCTAATTTGGTTTGTTTTAAATAATTATTTAATTTTATTTGTTATTATTTTAAAATTTTCTGTAGGACACGCGAGCTCACCAGAGAGAGACACACACACACAGAGAGAAAGCTGCCAGTCCCAGTACTCAGACTGCCACGTGGAAGTCCAGCACCTTAGCCACCACAACACCTGCTGGCCCAAGGACGTGGTTTGATACCTGCCTTTTTTCTGTGGGAGGGGGGAGGTTTTTGCTATAGGGCGCATGTGCTCACCAGAAAGACTGAGAGAGACAAAGAGACAGAAAGTGAGAAATTCCCCCCCCCCAAGGGGGATGGCCACACCACAATCCCTTCATGGAGATAATAGTATTGTACTTTCAATGGCTATTGGGAAAATAAAGATGATTTTACTCTTTAAAGTGCTTTTACCCCAAGTGTCCAGCTTGGAGCGAGCCCTCAGTGAAGGCCAGCCACGCCAGACTGTCCCTGGAAGCAGAGCCGCACGGGCCATGGCTTGTGCGACTGGACCTCAGGACTGAGCATTATTTTGAAAACAAAGCCAAAAGAACTTTGCTAACTCCATTAGGAAAAAAATGGCTCCTAGAAGTTCTTTTTTTTTTTTTTTTGAGAGAGAGGCTTTCTGTTCTAGAGTGCATGTGCTCTTCTGAGAGACAGAGATAAATAGACAGAAGCGAGAAGTCATCCCCAAGGGAAGGGGGAGCACCGTGCCACAGTATCCTCTCCTCTTGGGATCCTGGCCACACAGGAACGCACGCCTGATGTGAATTTCAGGCCGCAGGGTCTAGGACTCGAACTGTGGCCCACCAGGTGGGAGTCCAACGACATAACTGTCATGCTACCGGGAGGTCCTGATGTGCTCAGCTCCAGCGAGGCTGTTTTGCACAGGCCCGTGTGCACGCCAGCTTTCTTCTCGTGGCCGTCATGCCGTGCTCACTGCCCGTTTCTCTGGTGGGGATCGATGTGCTTACTGGCTTGGAAGGACCCGTGTCTGTTTTCCATTCTTGGTCTCTCCAGTTTGTCCTCACAAGGGCTGGCCCAAAGGAGGTTGACTATAGATGTTTTCCCACTCAAATTCTGTTTTTGTTTTTTTTTTTCTCTTTTCCTTGTCCTTCCCCCCCAGCAGTCCCAGCGGGGTAGGGTGAGAAGAGGGAGGGTGAGGAAAGACACACTGGGGTGTCTTTTCCACCAGGAGGGCGGGTCTGGGCAGCCCCCAGGGCCCTAGTGAGCTGGCTCTAGCAGGATAGACAAATAAGGGAACTGCTCTCTTCGCGGGACGTTGCCCTAGCTGACCTTCCTGCCTGGGTGCGAGAGTGAGTGAGCGAAATGTGCTGCTCAACTGTCCTGAGACTTGTCGCTGCTGGTCGTGGGAGGAAGCCTGGAGTTAAAATAAAAAACGAGATCGAGAGAAGTACACTGGGAAGTGAAACCGGCTGAGTAGATGCTGGGCATTTTCATAGACAGGTGGTTCTCAGGGGAGCCCTGTGAGGTTGGGGTGGCTCTCCGCAGCTCAGCTCGGAGCTGAGGACCTGCTGCGACCTCTGGCCTGCTGCCACGCCAGTCCCTGCACACGGGTGTTCCCTGACCTCATCTCTGCCCCCAGATGGCCACATCACCCCCCTCTCCTGAGATCCCCATGGCCGAGGGGCGTGGGGAAAGTCACCGCGGAGGAGAAGCCCGGTTCCTCCTGGCAGGCGGTGGGTGTGCGGAGCTCTGGGTGGAGAGCAGGGTAGCTCCTGGCTGTCCAAGTGTGCCCGAGTGTGTCAGAGTGTGAGCGCGCATAGTGAGCCTGCTTGCCACGCTTGCCCTCCCCCCTTTCTGCTTTCTTTTTAAAAATGTTTATTTGTTGGGACCAGCAGTTAGTGTAATGGCTATGTTGCTGTTCTCTCATGTAGTCGACCGCGGTTCGAGTCCCAGACCCGGTGGCTTAAACTCATGCTGGGCACATGTGCATGCATGCCCAAGATCCTGAGAGGATAATGGAGAAGGGATCGCGGTGTGGTCATCCCCCCTCCAGGGTGATTTTTGGCTTTCTATCTCTCTGTCTCTCTCTTTCTAGTGAGCGCATGCATCCTATAGCAAAAACCACTCCAATTTTATTATTATTATTATTATTTTTGGCTTCAATGAGAGATACAGAGAGATAGAGAAGCACCCCCCCTCGGCATCTTCACATGGGCACAGAGCGTTCTGCTTTGCCGCGGTCTGGCCCCTCCCGGTTCTGCCTTATTCCATGTTTTCTGACACACGCTGTCCAACGACTTTCCCACAGAGCACCCCAGCCTTTCCCTGACCGTGTACCCAGCCACTCGGAGCGCAGCAGGGTGTGTGCTAATATCTGTATGACGTGGGGAACCAGCAGGGGGTACAATGGTTACGTCGTTCCCCTGTAGTCAACCATGGTTCTAGTCTCATGCCAGGTACGTGTGCGTGCCCCAAGTCCCGAGACAGAATGGAGGCGAAGGGAATGGGGCGTGGCCATCCCTGTTGGGGATTGGATTTCTTGGTTTCTCTCTCTCTGTATCTCTCTGTCTTTCTGGTGAATACATGCACCCTACGGCAAAAATCTCTCTTAAACAATAAATTGGGGGGACTGGCAGGTGACGTGTTGGTTAAAGGCACTGGACTCCCCCATGGCCGACTGCAGTGTGAGTCCCAGACCCGGCAGCTTGCTCTCTCACTTTCCCTTTCTCTCTGTCTCTATCTGGTCAAACTTAAAATAATAATAATAATAACAAATGGAAATAAATAAACAAAGAATTCTTAAAAAAAAGTCGTACAACAAAACTATAGCACAAAATTTTATAAAGTCATACCATGGTGGGTGCCGTTTAATTTCTCCAGAGCAAGTGGACATGCACCCTACTGACCCATGTGTGTGCTCACACATGCATGCACACCCACACATGCTCACATGAGTGGGCTCAAGAACAGGGCCAGGCGGGAACCAGCAGTTAGCGTAATGGCTATGTTGCTGGACTCCCACGTAGTTGACTGCGGTTCGCGTCCCGGACCCGGTGGCTTAAACTCACACCAGGCGCGTGTGCATGCGTGCCCAAGATCCCAAGAGGAGAATGGAGGAGAAGGGATTGAGGCGTGACCATACCCCCTGGGGGGTGATTTCTCGCTTTCGGTCTCTATGTCTCTCTCTCTCTGTCTGTCTGGCGAGCGCACGTGCCCTATAGCGAAAACTTCTCAAAAAAAAAAAAAACCTGGGCTAGGAACACGTGAAATGGAAAGAGCACTGAAGGGACCCCCTCGGCTCCCGAAGCTCCCCATAGAGGGGCTCTGTGGTCCCAGCTAGGTCGGAGCTCCCACTTCAGAACTCAGGGGGCAGAAGGCGCAGCCTCCCAGGAGCTCCTGGAAGTTGGGGTCCCCTGAGAGGGGCCTCTCTCTTCCTACCAGCACTGTCCCTTGGTAGATGAATATGAAAGAAGAGAGTCCTTGCGAACTGAATCCCAGTGAACTTTCTGGAAGGAGAGAGTGGGAATACTCACCTTGGTGACCCCAGCTCTCCCCTCAGGGAGCCTTCTGCAGATCTCAGGCCGGTAAGGCAGACAGGAGGCCACCAGGAGGAGGTTCCTGAGTCAGTGAGAGCCTGCTTGGTCTGGCAGCAGTCCGTCCTTGGGACCTTATTTTGGCCTCAGATCTGGCCAGTGAAATCTGAGGTCTTGCTGACAGCATTTGGGGGCAGAGAACAGCCAGCCCTGCTCTGAGCCCTGTTACTCAAAGGCGTAAAGAACCCTCCACGGCCCAGGGCAGGCAGCCTCCGGTCCGGCCAGTTGGAAAGCGCCGGCTCTGGCGCCAGCCACGAAGCCGACACTCGCCCATTTCAGATAGTTTCTAAACAAGAGGTGTCATCCGGGCTCTGCTGGCCCCCGACTCTGGGATGGCCCACCTTAGGCACGGTCTTCTTAGCCATCAGCTGTGGCAGTGGATCCTGGGAGCGGGCCAGGCCCACGCGTCCCAGGCCTTTCCCTGGCCACTTTGCAGACAGAGGCTCACCTCCCTGACGGCTCTGTGGCTGCTGTGGTCAGAAGACAGTCCATC